CCTCAGAAATGATCATGCTTGAATGTGGTGAGTACTTTTGACATATAGAAAACAAACACATAAAAATGTAAAATATCATGTTACGTTTGACCTCTGACCTCTCCTTAGAGGTCCATAGATTGATCTGAAGGTCAACCTGATAATGCCACACAAAGCTATTTGACGCTATGTTTCTTACTGCCATCGTTTGTATTGACAACATTGAGGCATTTAGGAAATGATATATGAGGATTCTAAACATCACATTACTTTTGACCTCTGACCTCTCCTTCAAAGTCAAATAAGGTCAAACTTTCATGAAAAAAGTCTTATCTTTAAAGCCATGGTTAAAACTCTTCTGCCTTTGTATTGGCAATAAATAGCATTTTATTGATTTTATTTGACCCAATTTTTACATTTCACGTCCACCTTTCTTTAAAGTTAAACCCAGAACGTGTCTCTAAAGGAAGTGCTGTCATGAGAAAGAGAATGAGCTGCCTACATAGTGAGAAATATACTGTAGTATAATGTTATGTAATAAGCTCAAGTTATACATATCCAGTTATTTAATACCCCCATTATTCATTACCTACTCCTACATAGTGTTTGTGTAATCATAGTAAACGTATGTAAGCGTACCCTTATCTAAATTTCACTGCACTAGAAAACCTCTTCAATTATATTCTAAAAGAACAAAGCAAAAAACAAAAATAATATATTCGAAATATAATATTATTTCTTGAAAATGTAAATACATTTTAATTTTTTTTCTATTCTTTTTTTTAAATGTAATTCGTTTTTTCTGTCACCAATTAACTTCAAAAAATGATTGAAGTAAAGCAGACACGTTGGGGTTTTTTAAAATGAGAGTTGGCATCTTTAAAGGAAGGAGGCAGGAAACCGAAAGGCTGAACCAAGGGCCAGTAAGAGATAAATAGGAGTCATATTAAACTGTGGATCACTCAAAGCCACTCTAACAGAGTCCAGTGATAAAATTATGGAGGTGGAAACGAGCATAGTAATGGTTTGGTTTTTAACAAAAGCTCTGTGGCACAGTAAGAACATATTGTGACTTTATGGCCTTTGTCCAGGTTCCTTGTTTAACTGTTTTTCAGCAGTATGATTGTAACACCATAGAGTGAGAAATTGTCTGTATGAACAGTTTGACTGCTCGTTCTCATAGTTTCTCTATTTAAAACTCTGTTCTCTGAATTTAAACTGAGGGGAGGAACGCCGTGTTTCCAGAAAATATTCCCTCCTTTAGTGTTCGATGGCAGTGGTGGAGAGTGTGAGCTGACACAGAATGGTGACTGTAAAGGCCATAGCATATGATTCACAATTTCCATGGTAATCGAGGTTGGTGACCTATTGTTTTCTGTGCACGGCAAAAGATTTCAATGAAGAATAAATAAAAAACTCAATAAAATAAAACAGTGCAGTTTATTCCTACTCAGCCTTTCTTCTAAGACTTGATTTGTGGAGGACGTCAGGAAGGTACAAGAATTTTTTTTTCCCTCCACAGTATTTTAACAATCCACAAGGTATGCATTTAAATGCCACGAGATGCAAGCAAAGACAGTAAAACATAGGGCTCAGGGATAAAACCTGACAGGTGTGTGAGTGTTTACCACTCCCCTGCTAGCTCTGGACTGTGCTTTGGAAGAAAAGCTTCCAGCCCAGTGGACTCTTCAGCTGTGAAGCAGGACGAGAGGTCAGCAGTTGTTGTCAGAAAACTAATTCTTCATTCAAAAGAGCAGATAAAAGTCTGGCAAATAATCAGTGTCAATGCTGAAACTCATCCTGATTATTTAGGTGTTATCCAAGTAGCTGATGTAATTTCCTTAGTATTTAAAGCAGCTCATTTTGAAAACTTCTAGTGTGCCTCTAGCCTTGCACAAGCAGCTCCAAACAGTGAAACTCTCACAGCTTATGTTTTATTCAAACACAGTTGAAGGTTTTTCAGTGCCAGATTTTTTACTGGCCCTTCAGCATTTCAGACTGTTTCCGAGGATTAAGTGAAGCAGACCCACAGCGTACCCAAAGGGTGGTTTTTTCCCCATAATGCCACTACACTGTGTCTGCCTGTAATGAGGCAGCGGGAGGTTGATAAGAACTAGTCTGTGTTGTTATGAGAGGTAATAACAGGTGTTAGATTGTGATGAAGTGGTACCTCAGCTGGAGAAGTCTGTTTTGCAGGGACACCTGGTTCCTAGAAAAACATCCTGTTACTTTTTTTGGCCTCTGTGTTAGCTTTCCCCTCTTTAGTTTATCTTCTTGTTGCTTCATTTATCTCTCTTATTCACATTCTACTTGTTTTTGTATACAAGAGGTGAAATACTTTTAGAAGAAAAAGTGTTTTAAACCCTTTGAAATTACCAAGGGAAGATCAGAAAACTATGTTCTTTCAAGATTGTTTCTACAACAGGACAAATTACTAGAAGTACCCTGTGTTGTGTCTTGAGCGCCAGTTCTCCAGGCTTTTGAGAGTTTTTCTCACTCATTTTCAGTCCTGGTTTTTAAGCCACTTAACACTGACCTATGAATCAGCTGAACATTAAAAAAAACTTGCCTAACTCGAATGACAGACAACTCGCAAACACAGTCTGACAAACATCAAACAGTATTTTGGCAGCAAAGAGGTGATCCCCAAAGAGCTGAAAATGTGTTATGTTTCATTGTATGCAGTGTGTCCTTAAAAAATCTTTAACAACTTGACAAATAGAGAACATAATAAAATGTGGCTGAGTTGATGATTATCGGTAGAACAGTATCTGACGTCAGAGGAAATCAATTCAGCTGACAGGACCTGAGTGATACACCTGGCTCTTCAGTTGATCACCATCACTCATTATCATCATCAGAAATGGTCTCAATGACTGAGCGTCTGTCGTCTTTAAGACGCACTTAAAGAATGAAATCGGGTTGAATATGGGGTTTGACAGATGACACGAGAACTGGAGTGAAAATCAGCGGCAACAGGTTTTATGGAGTCAAATGTCAATTCTTGGAGGACGTCGAGAGAGACATGCAGTGAGTGCCTACAGTTGTCTGTAAAACGGAGCGGAGGCTTGGTCAGGATTTCTGGCTTTTAGCCAGGCGGGGGGGGGTTAGGTTAAAATTAAAGGAAATATTTTTTTCAACCATGCAATACTAGCTGGAAAGCATCTGACGGCTTCATTTTTCAGCATGATGATGATGATGATGTCAAAAACACTGCCAGTGCTGTAAAAGCATACGAGAAATGACATAATGGAACACGATCAGTCTGGATTGGCCGCACCTCAACTTTGTTAAGCAGTGTGGGATCATCCTGAAAGCGAACAGAACGAAAGGCAGCCAACATCCAAAGAAGAGTTTTAATGTCCCTAAAAAGCTGAGCATACCAAATATTGACTTTCACCTCCTAAATATTGTACAAATTCTGGCTTATATTCTGTATTTCCATGTGTTTGTTTCAGTACATCGCTGCACGCGCTTCCCATTTTCCTAACAAAATATACAGAAATGAGAAGTGGCTCAAGAGTTTTGCACACAAAAAAAATTAAATATAAATGTTACCGTGGATTGTAAAAGAAAAGCGTATTTATTAGAACATGAGGTAATTTGGGCCTCCTGGAGCTCAGTCATACTTCAATTCAATTCAGTTTTATTTATACAGCACCAAATCACAACAACAGTCACCTCAAGGTGCTTTATATTGTAAAGTAGACCCTTCAATAACACATACAGAGAAAAACCCAACAATCATATGACCCCCTATGAGCAAACACTTTGGTGACAGTGAGAAGGAAAACCTCTGGCAGAACCAGGCTCAGGGAGGGGCTCTATATTAATATATAAAATGTAAAGAAATGAATAGAAGTTGGCAAAAGAGCAGAAACCATGATGTTATCTTTTATTTTAATCACACCCTCTGTGACCCTCTCAAAGTACAGTTTAGGCTGAATTCTGTTAAAAAGCATTAATTTGGTTACTAACAAGCTAGTATTAAGAAGGTAACGCGCTGTGTCTGTAGATAAAAGGTTGGATTAACAAACACAGCAAAAATTAGTAAAGAAAAACATTTGTTAATGGTGCTTTAAATGTTTCTGTAATTTAATCAGTGTGTCACACGTGATTCTAAGTGCTGTGCAAACCTCCTCCAGGCACAGTTTTACCCTTGATTCTTGTTCCTGCCTTGTTTCTATAAATCCTCGCTGTGCATAAAGAAAATAAATAAATAAAGAGACTATGAATCAGCAGGTTGTAGCTTTGTAACAACATAGCTGTTAATGGCATGACAGGATGTGTTTGCTTGTCAGTGTTTGAAGCAGGCCACACACACACAAACACTCATTATAGATACCCTGTGACCTTTTCACTTTCAGTTTGAATAGTGTGTACTTTAAATATATGTGGCAGGCATGACAAATGAGGCAAATGGGACATCAGAGGAGAGGGCTGCTGCTCAGAGTGTGCAGAGAGGCAGACAGACTGGCTCTACACACTGGTCCCAACTTTAAGAAGCCCTCACAGCACAGATAAAGCGGCTTTCCCATTCTATAGCCTCACTGTCTGTAGCATCTAAAGCAGACAATTCACAGCACCTTATAAGGAAAAAAACCCAAAAAACCCCCACAAGACCTAATTTCTTATATTTACACTCAGTCACAGATCAGCAGTTCAGCAATCATATTTCAATCTACAGTCTCCATCCCACAAGGGCTGCATATCCACGTATAGCAGGTTTCATAATAGAAATCTGTTTGTAAACAGCAAGACCATCCTTCAGACTGGGAACCTCCACAGGCGTTTTGCTGTTAATAGATCGGTTTCCTGTTTGAAAAGACAGCACCTAGTATTTTTCTTTCACAGTACACAGACTTTCTGTCCATGCTGATTTTCTTCACGTATTTTGTTATCATCTACAGTTTGCCAACATGTTCTTCTTTCATCCATCCCCTTAAACTGTTCTTATTCCTGTGTAACAGAGAAGCCCAGGGACATACACTAACAAAGATCAACTGTTTGTGTCTCTGCAGAGGGCTTGGCAGTAGGTGTTGGTTTTGGAGCTGTAGGAAAGACAACATCTGCTACCTTTGAGAGTGCCAGGTAAGACTGATGTAAAACCCGAGAAACAAATACAACACACGGCCTTTCTGAAGTTGTGAAAAATGGATTCTTGCTTTATTGATTGGTCTGTTAATTTGGCTGTTGAGCATTTTATCCGTCATTGCAGCTGGAGACAGTTATGGTTGAGGTTATCTGTTCACAAGCTCTGACTGGTTATTGTTACTACATTAAAAACTTCAGATAGTTGAGTTAAATACTGAAGCTGATGGTTGGCTTTTCTTATGCTCATTTTTAGCTCCATGTTGATTTTATGAGCTTTGCACAATTCACAGTTCAAAAGAAGGGGGAGAAACCCATAGTCTATAATTTGTTCTCAGTTTTAGGTCATTTCCCTTTACAGCGAGCTTTCTTTTGATTGGCCGCTCCTCGTAAACTCAAGATTTTAACAGCAAGCGAGGGGACTTCAGTGCTGTGTGTCTGAAATAATCACAATCAGGGTATCCTCTCATCTTGATATCACACAAAGCTGAGATGAGCGTTTAAAGAACTAACCTTAGTATTTGAAATGTTGGCTATGGCTAATGTGAGTATCCAACAATGTAATAGTATATAAATGATTGGAAATAAGTTCCACTTTGAAGATGGGTTTGATTACTTTAGTGTGTTTCCATGCAATCCCATAACTGTTCTCTGTTGTGTGCTGCTGACACCTAGTGGTTATATTCTGGTACTGGCGATACAGTTGGAGATCCCAGCAAACCTTTTCTAAGCCAGCAGCCTTGTCTCTTGAAGCAGCTGCATGTTTATCTGTGGATCTGAAAAGGCATTAAGATTGAAAACAATCAGGTCTTTAACAAATAGAAACAAGGTAACACTTTGATCTGCTAACAGCGTGATTGCAGTTTCAGTTACACACACTACCAAAAGCAGTTATAAAATAGAGTTAAACTACACGTGTAGATACTGATTAAACACAGGCTGCAGCACTTATTAAAAAATATTGTTAAACCCAGGACCCACTGCACCAGTGTAGGGTCTGACAATGAGTCCAAGGATTTCATTCCAATACGTAATAGCAGTCAGGGTGGCTTTGCCTAACCTGTGGACTTCTGGGTCCCGCTCCATGGACCTGCCTCCCCACACCATCACTGACCCATGGCAAACAAACCAAATTGGTCCCCGCTGCTTATCCAGACCCTTTCTGAAGCTTGGGAGCAAGCTCAGGGTGAACCTCCTCTGATCTGTGCGGTTGACCTTCCAATTCTGGTATTCAATGGCAAATGCCAATCGGGCTATGTGGCACTGGGCATTGAGCACAGGGCCCAGTAGAGGACGCTGGGCCCTCAGCCCACCTTCATGAAGTCTTTTTCTGATTTAATATTTCATAATATTCCTTGTAAAGAAAAGTTGGGTGACTGATTGTTTGTGTTCCATCAGAAATTTGGCCATTGGTATCGGAATCCAGAATTTCCCTGAAGGGCTAGCAGTGAGCCTGCCCCTCCGCGGGTCAGGGGTCTCAACATGGACAGCCTTCTGGTAGGGAAACCACAGGTTTCTACTCACTGTATCAATCTTCAAACAGTGTGTAGCTTCCTTCATTGTTGGTGTTCTTCCTTCAGGTATGGTCAGCTTAGCGGTATGGTGGAGCCTATTGCCGGGCTGCTCGGCGCCGTAGCTGTTGTTGTGGCAGAACCTCTATTGCCATACGCGTTGGCATTTGCTGCCGGGGCGATGGTCTATGTGGTGGTGGATGACATCATACCTGAGGCGCAAGTCAGGTAAAAGTGAAAAGGAGGAGTTACTTTTGGGGTGGGGGGGTCAAAGCTAGATTACTTGTGCAAGAGGTCTAATCTATTACCCTTTGCTTCAACTTGGCATCACCAGTGGAAACGGAAAGCTGGCATCCTGGACCTCCATCCTAGGCTTTGTAGTGATGATGTCACTAGATGTGGGTCTAGGCTGAGATCACCGTGAGGACCGGCGATCCCTCACAGGACATGATGTCGTCATCATGATGCAACTTGTATTTTAAGTAAAAGGGGGACCAAAATTAGTGTTTGATTCTCAAACACTGTTTATGCATTTAGTTTTAATTGTTGATCATAAAATTGATCAGGTTTGGAAGGATGATCATACTTGAACTTAACTTTTGTCATTCACATTTTAACAGTGATTTCCTGAGAGCAGCTGACATGTTTTTCATGTCTGATATTTCATTAAGGAATTAATTTCTGAATATTTAAATGAATATTCATATTCCAGGGCTGGAGAATGTTTTGTTGGGACTTTGTAGCTTTTAAGTTTAGAAACAATATTATAAGTACAGATAATTTCTGTTCTGTTAAGTTAAAATGAATGTGTTGGGTTTTGTTTCGTCCATTTCCCTAATGATCACGATACTTGAACTCTGGTGTTTGGCTTGCTGTTGTATGGGAGTGAAAATAAATAATTACAACATTTCTACATCAGTCGTCTTGTCATCATTAAGAAACCAGACAGTATGATTATGGTGTGTTGAATTATGGCATTTCAAATATGACACTTTGCAGCTACATGTTTAACCTAAATATTTCAAACATGCAATCTAATGTCCCAGGATTATGATGCTTTTATTTTGAGATGTGGTGTTGTCGGTATTGATTTGATTTGAACAGTAGTCTATTTTCAGACCTTTTGATTTTACCGTGTCATAAGATCTTGTATTTGTTCATCGACTAACCTTTTGTAATCTATGAAAGTACCTCTCACAATAGTGTACAGCAAAATGGCCATAAAAAATGTAACCTATATACAGTGGTGTGAAAAAGTGTTTGCCCTCCTCCTCTTGTTTCATCCGAACCACATTAGAGAAAGATAAACAAATAATGCAGTTTCTAAATTATAGTGTTTATTATTAGGGAAGGGGAAAAAATCCAAACCTGCTCGGCCCTGTGTGAAAACGTGATTACCCCCTTAACCTAATAACTGGTTGGCCCACTCTTAGCAAAAACAGCTGCAATCGAGCATTTGTGATAACTGGCAATGAGGCTTTTACAGAACTAGGAAGAATTTTGGCCGACTCATCTTTGCAGAATCATTTTATTTCAGCCACATTGGATGGTTCTCAAGCATAAACCAGCTTTTTAAGGTAATGCCACAGCATCTCAATCAGAATCCGGTCAGGATTTTGACTAAGCCAATGTCGTCCTTTGTTTTTTTTTTCTTAAGCCATTCAGAGATGGACTTGCTGGTGTGTTTTTTGATCTTCGTCCTGCTCCCGAACCCAAGTGTGCTTCAGTTTGAGGTTACAAACAGAAGGTCGAACATTCTTCTTCAGGAGTTTTTGGTAGACAGCAGAATTCATGGTTCTATTTACCACAAAGTCTTCTAGATCGCGAAGCAGCAAAACGGCCCCAAACCATCACACTACCACCACCATATTTTACTGCTGGTATGATGCGTAATGAGACACACACCCTGCAGAAACTTCAGCTTTTGTCTAGTCAGTCCACAGAGTAATTTCCCAAAAGTCTTGGGCATCATCAAGATGTTTTCACAAAGGGCTCCATAGGCTTGGATTTTTTTCCCTTTAATAATACACACCTTTGTTTAGAAACTCCATGTTGTGTTTACGTGTGTTATCCAATATTTAAATCTGAAACATTTAAGTATGACAAAAATACCAAAAAAATAGGAAATCAGGAAGGGGGAAAACCCTGTAAATTCACCACAGTGCAAGTCAACCTGTTTATCCTGCTATACATTTGCATAGTGACTGAAACCAGCAACACTGACTAACAATGGGCCGTGAGAACAGTTTCATGATCAATAATATGCAAATTGCCATTGTCATACAGATATTTGTATCCAAATGTAGAGACTAAAAGTAAAAAGTAAATACGTAAAGCACAGATACCTCAAAATTCTACTTAAGTACAGTACCAAATTTGTACTTACTTCCCACCTGCGGTCAAGGCACGCCTCCTGGCAGGCCTGTGAGACCAGAGACTGCAGTTTGTTCCAGACCGTTTGGCCATATCTTCCTGCAATCCTTGACTGCAAATCTGTAAAACATTGTGTAGCGACAGGGTACGGAAACCCTTACTCTTATATTGTCCCTTTATATCTCTTCAATTTCAATTAATTGTCAGATTTTTTTCTTTTGAAACGGAACTTTCAGACAATAAATAAATAAAAATATAAATATTTCAGTATGTTTCATCAAAAAAAAAAAAAATTCTTACATGCAGTATTTTGTGTAATTTATTCCTTAAAAATGTATTGTGCTATTTACAGTGGCTTGCAAAAGTATTCGACCCCCTTGAACTTTTCCACATTTTGTCACATTACAGCCACAAACATGAATCAATTTTATTGGAATTCCACGTGAAAGACCAACACAAAGTGGTGCACATGTGAGAAGTGGAATGAAAATCATACATGATTCCAAACATTTTTTTACAAATAACTGCAAAGTGGGGTGTGCGTAATTATTCAGCCCCCTGAGTCAATACTGTAGAACCACCTTTTGCTGCAATTACAGCTGCCAGTCTTTTAGGGTCTGTCGCTACCAGCTTTGCACATCTAGAGACTGAAATCTTTGCTCATTCTTCTTTGCAAAACAGCTCCAGCTCAGTCAGATTAGATGGACAGCGTTTGTGAACAGCAGTTTTCAGATCTTGCCACAGATTCTCGATTGGATTTAGATCTGGACTTTGACTGGGCCATTCTAACACATGGATATGTTTTGTTTTAAACCATTCCATTGTTGCCCTGGCTTTATGTTTAGGGCCGTTGTCCTGCTGGAAGGTGAACCTCCGCCCCAGTCTCAAGTCTTTTGCAGACTCCAAGAGGTTTTCTTCCAAGATTGCCCTGTATTTGGCTTCATCCATCTTCCCATCAACTCTGACCAGCTTCCCTGTCCCTGCTGAAGAATAGAATGGCCTTTATTGTCATTGTACAGAGTACAACGAAATTGGAGTGCCACTCCCTTGGTGCAAGTATCAATAATAAATATAAATGTAAAATATAAAAAGTACAAAAAAAACAAAAACAATCGTAAGTACTCAAACAATAGTATGTACAATATACTAAATAAAAGAGAAGCACCCCCAGAGCATGATGCTGCCACCACCATATTTGACAGTGAGGATGGTGTGTTCAGAGTGATGTGCAGTGTTAGTTTTCCACACATAGCGTTTTGCATTTTGGTCTCATCTGACCAGAGCACCTTCTTCCACATGTTTGCTGTGTGCACGACTAATAGTTGTCCTATGGACAGATTCCCCCACCTGAGCTGTAGATCTCTGCAGCTCGTCCAGAGTCACCATGGGCCTCTTGGCTGCATTTCTGATCAGCGCTCTCCTTGTTCAGCCTGTGAGTTTAGGTGGACGGCCTTGTAGGTTTACAGTTGTGCCATACTCCTTCCATTTCTGAATGATCGCTTGAACAGTGCTCCGTGGGATGTTCAAGGCTTGGGAAATCTTTTTGTAGCCTAAGCCTGCTTTAAATTTCTCAGTAACTTTATCCCTGACCTGTCTGGTGTGTTCTTTGGACTTCATGGTGTTGTTGCTCCCAATATTCTCTTAGACAACCTCTGAGGCCATCACAGAGCAGCTGTATTTGTACTGACATTAGATTACACACAGGTGCACTCTATTTAGTCATTAGCACTCATCAGGCAATGTCTATGTGCAACTGACTGCACTCAGACCAAAGGGGGCTGAATAATTACGCACACCCCACTTTGCAGTTATTTATTTGTAAAAAATGTTTGGGATCATGTATGATTTTTGTTCCACTTCTCACGTGTGCACCACTTTGTGTTGGTCTTTCACGTGGAATTCCAATAAAGTTGATTCATGTTTGTGGCTGTAATGTGACAAAATGTGGAAAAGTTTAAGGGGGCCGAATACTTTTGCAAGCCACTGTATTTGGGATTTTTGGGGACGGGGGGGATATCACTCTGATGATGTAGAGGTTTTAAAAACTCACAAAACCCCAACAATCAAACGTGATCAAGTTCTTCCCCTAATCTACTAATAATGCAAGCACATTTTGTTACTCGTAATCTGAAAAAAACAAGACAGTATGAGCACATTTTGGACATGTGTCTCTCTGGAAACAGCATTTCAAACCAGTGTCGGTCAGAGAGACCCACAAACAAGTGACATCATAAGAAACATATAGTGACAGTCATTGACTACAAAAGATTTTCATCCATCTGTTAAAGACGGCCCTTAGGTTTAAACTTACGTTAGTTTTTCAATTTAATTTTGAGCCTGATATATATGTATTAAAAACGTCTCTGTAAATCTATTTCAAGAAAAGAACAATGAAATAATCTTCAAAATAAATGTGGTGCTGTGCTCTACTTTATACTGTCCCTTCATGCTACCGAGAGACAGAACAGGTGCTGTCAGCCTGCAGCAAACTTAACCCTTGTGTGGTGTTCGTATTTTTGTTACTCAGCCAGTGTTCATGGGTCTGGTGGACCCGCTAGAGTTTTGGCTTTCCAAATTAACACTATCAAACAATTTTATGTTAAATTACTCAACAGATGTTTACTTCATCCCAATTACAAGACATATGAACAGCAAACATGGTTAATTTTTTCCCTTTACCTTTGTTAGATCACATTTATGAATTAATGTGCTTCTCGTTTTTCTTTTATATAAAATGTTATAAATAAATCAGTTATAATCAAGTGGAGTGAGTGGAAAGACACAACACATTTACACGTGAAAAAATAATTAATTGTTTAATTTTTCTTTTGAAAAAAACTGAACACGGGTCTCACAGACCCGAACACCATACAAGGGTTAAGCAGTCTTTCAAATTTAAAGATTGACCTAAACAAGCAGTTCTTCTGTGTACAGACAGCTCTTACTGGGAGTGTTTTTTTATTCAGTTGCTCTGTTGCTGTGGTGATGGGTAGAAGCAGGCTAGATGGTTAGAAACTAAAACTTTTATTGACATTGACACGTTTTGGTTTTTTTAATTAAAGAATTTTGTTGTAATTTTAATGTGAAAATATTGGCTGGGTCTTACAGACAGAAGGTTTGAAGAGCAGATGGGTGTTGCTGAATAGATATAAGATTATTGATGACTAAATCTTAAGTTGATTTGACTAAAATACAAAGTGTAAAAGTCTGTCGTGTTTTTACCGGTGAAAGTTGCTTCATGCGGTTTACAAAGTGTCTTATTTTCCTTCACATAAAATGTGAAATGTGTCCATCTGTCTGCTCTCGTCTTCCTCCTAACCATTGACATTTTGCAACAGGAAGTGTCTCTTCCTTCCAACCCGTTTGTTGTGTGCAGAATCAGATCAAATTGTGTGCGTCAAACATGACTGGACAGGGAGAACTTGTCCCCCCTCTCTACGTAAATTCATTAGTTCTGCTTGGAGCTCATCTCTCTGTTTTTATCTCTTTTTTATTTGTCAAAGAAGGAACAGAGACATTTCATTATAGTTTTTTTTTAAATTTATTGTTGTGTTTTCATCAGCAAAATCATGAATAAATTTTTTAGTGAATGATATTAACACTGATGAGGAACCACCATTGTGCTGTAACTCAGTCTAGCTTATTTAGCCGGCAGCATGCTCCTTCTGCGGACCCATTTAAGGAAGTAACATGATGATGAAGAGAAACAATGTATGATTTTGTTGTTGCAGAGTCATTCACACACTAGGAAAAGCAGACATAAACCACACATAAACTACAGTACTTGTAAAATCTATCTTTCAAGTTTACATTTTGGTGATTCTAAAAGCATCAAATTTAGTATCCACTCTCTAATAATTATGGGCATTAACTCTGTTTTATGACTCTAATGTAGCATCAATGCAAGGGTAAAAAATGTAGATCATAAACGGGGTTGTTATACTTTCTGGAATAGGTCTGTGGGTCACTTTTTCATTTAAGCAATTCATCTAAGGAAAGCCAAGGAATATAATGCTAGACACGTTTCCCTTCCATGCAGAGCTTAAATCATGATTTTTACAAATATAGATGGGCTTTTGAATAAAACCAATTTACAAGATAGTAAACATATTATTCAAGTCCTGAGAAAGTAACAAATATAGGTGCGATGGCACAAAGGTTTAAAACCAAACTCTACCCATATTCCTTCCAATTGTATATGGCTTATCCATTTACTTTAAACAAAATCCAAATTACAAAGTGCTTCACATGAGCAACTAAAAAACAAACAAAAAAACACTAAACCAAACACACACACACACACACACACACACACACACACACACACACACACACACACAAAGCCATCAGAGAGCAGTATATTGCAGTAAAAATGAAAGAGATTTAGGACATAAGAATTGGGAAGACCAACTGACTGGCGACTGATTTTCTTGGTCGGATTGGTTTCACTGGCCAAGATAGAAATATATTTTCCTCCACTGGATTCCCAGGCCAGTAGATCAGACTGGACCCTTACATAACTGTACTGGCCACAAAAAAATTACTTGTTTCAAATATTTTAGTTTATTACTTGTGGCTCGATGCTTGACGATCAAAATCAGGTTTTGATAACAAAGTCAGCATTTTGCCTCACAAGAGCTGGAATATTTGCTTGCAGTTTTGAAAAATAATCCCTCGTCCAGGTAATCTGAGGTTTAGAAAACAGAATCTCTATTATCTTATTGGCATTTTGAGAATCATCACGATTTCTCATCAAGGTCTTGATTTTCTCCATCAGACGGTTCATGTCCTGCTGATAAATCCCTGCCGCACGCACGGCTCTGGATCCATCAGGTTCTCCTGCACTTTCTAGACGAGCCTGATGGATCAGCATCTGTGTGTGGAAGGCAGCTCCATTCACCCACTGCTTCAGAAACTGAGTGTCCATATGTTCATCTATCAGCATGGAGTTCTTAGAAAAGAAATTGGAGTACACGGCATCATAGGGTTAATTACGAACATTTCTATACATGAATACTTCTGTAAAAATCCCCTATTCAGGGATGATTTGTTACAAATGAAAGCTGGCAGCTTTGTACCTTTAGCCGTGTGAGCTGGGCACTAAGAGCAATCTCAATTTGACGGGTGTCAGAGAGTTGAAGTTGTGGGTCTCTCAGGTTGATCTGCATACGCTTCAAATACTCGTGCATCAGATCTCGCACCTGCACAGTTAAAGAGGGGAATGTTAAGGCAAATTTTGTATGTTGATCAGCAGGACTTTTTTTTTTACAAGGAAAAAAGTGAATTAGTAAGCTACATTACGCATCCAAATGAACACCACTTTTAAGTGCTAACTTCTTAAGTTCTTACCTCCTTGGCCTTCTCCTGTGCGAACACCCTCTCTAACATTTCAGCTGTGCCCATGGTTTCTTTATTTAGGCTTTTGGCCACCACGTCTAAGGCCAAGGAAATGATGAGAGCTCCCAGTCCGACAGCATGAGGCACCTTGCTGAGCCCACCTAGAACATTCCCCACCTCTCTCACAATAGATGCGACCTGATTGAGTTCTCCACTGTACAAGACGTGGTCTCTGTAATTGTTCAGCTCTTCAGCTGAGTTGAGCCCAGAGAATCTCTGCAGGGAACTGAGAGGATATTTGTTTCCCATTAGTTTAGCACTCTACAAGGAAGTTAGCTCATGCTGTTATTATATTTTAATTAACTATTGATTAACTTTTACTGCCCATTTTATTTCAGTTTTTGAAAGGTTCAGTTTGCTCCTATGATCACTAACTTTGCAAATGTTTAATGCTAAACACAAAGCTCTTGGTATTAACAACAAAAGAGTGTTAAAAGAATGCTCTACATGAAAACTCAACTGATTAACAAAATGAGTGAATTTACATTGAAATCATGTATGTCTCTGCTTTGTATTTTGTTTGATGTAGAGATCTTATAGATATATCATCATGTAGCATGGAACGTCATCATATATAATGGAACTTTATCGTCTAGAATGTAACCTCATAAACTAGTATGGAATGGCACAACGTAGCATGTCAGGTAGGATGGGATGTCATTGTGTCTAATAGGATGTCATAATGCAGATGGGAATGTCATCGTTAGCATGAAATGTCAGTTTAGAATGGAACGTCATCATGTCATTATTTAAAACTGAATGAAGAATGGGATGTCATCATGTAGAACGGAATGTCCTATTTAAGAATGGAATACCGTCTTGAATGGAGTGTTATCCTGTTGATGGAACTTCATCTTGCTGAACAGAATGTCATCATTAAAACTGGAACGTAATCATGTCGAATGGAACGCTAAAGGACACTCGTTGTCTTTTGGTTGTGGAATTGCTCACCTGTCAATTTTAAGTTCATCCAGCTGTAAAACATTGCTAAGCATATCAGCAATACCTTCAAAGGCCATCTCCTCCTGCTCTGGAGATAGTGTTTGACCCATTTCCTGTTTAGTTGCTGTCATGAGAGTAACAAAGAAAAAAAGCTTTAATTTTTTTTTTACATTATCTGAGACAGAATCTTTAACAATTTTTGAAATTATAAACATGTTTTTTAAACTTATTTAAATGGACTTTCCCCCTTGTTTTTTCAATGGTTTAACAAGAAGATTTCTGTTTTTCTTTCTTTTGGCACAGCAACCTGCAGGTTTAGCACTGACTCATCGTGCCAGAGACTGAACACGAATCCTTTCACTTTTCCCACATCTACATATATATATATCTCTAGATGGTTGTGGCCACATCTTTTTCACATATTGATTTACACAGAAGATAAATCCTAACTTCAGTGCTCATCTGACTTTAGTCATGCTCCATTGAATATCACCTAATCTGAATTTCCTTGTGCTGATTATGATTGTGTATTTTTTGAGAAGCAATTTCCACAAGTATAAAATCTTTTAAGATATTCTACAAAAAATGTCATCATCTGAACATTTTGGGGAATTCTTTGACTGTCTCTTTGACTCTTTCTGATTTTGAGAAACAGCTCATGCAAAAGCCTAAATAAAAGTGCTTAAAGATTTTTTGCTAGTGATCTGCTCTTTGGGACACAGTAAGTACAAATCACATCCTTCTTGCACCCTTCCTAAAAATATATCAGATATAAATATTCTTGTTTTTTTGGATGGGTGGTGCTCTTAGAAGATATTTTTGCAGAATGTCCCAGGCTAAGAAGCAACAGGATTACAAACTGAAGCTGTTAGGTATCAACTCACCTAAAGATTAGAAGTTAGCAGCAGCAGCAGTGTTGGAGGTTATTTCCTTCAATTTTTGAGGTTCATGTTTAAATGGTTGAACGGAAAAGGTAAAAGGTCACAAAGCACCAATGAAGACCTATGTCAACATACTGAATAGATGAGAGACAGGACAAAATAACCACTGACAAAATAATATTCTTGCATGGTGTTGTCACAAGAAAATGTTAGAAATCCAACTTTCTTGCCTTTCTTTTGATCTATATTTGTAAGATAATAATTAGTTTGTTTAATTTTGGAGATTAATGTCTCTCATTTTAGCTAACTTCATATAATTTTTCTTCTTGTGTCCATTTTTATGCATATGTCAGTTCCTCCCCTCTCATGTAGTATTTGTTTTCAGACCAGATGAATGGAGTAGTCTGACTCCCTTAAATTTTTTTGTCCTGGTTTTTGGCAGTTATTTATATAATATCATCACAAAGAATTGTGATAATGTGCAAAGCAACAGGACTTTGCCTAAGGTCACTGTTCTTTTGGAAATATTTGAGGATCAAAGTCTTTGTTGACAGCTCAGTGGGACAGAGGCACAAACGAGGCGTTTCTTTTAGTACCACTTACTTTTACAGCCTAATCCCAACTTTGAGTGTCACGAAGCATAACAACTTTGTCTTTGGAACTGGGCTTGTACACATTTACCAACATCAGCCTCTGTGTGATGGATCTCAGAGGTGAGACTGCACGATCCTGAGGTAGATACCAGATCCTCCATCAGGTCTCGACACTCCATAACTGACGAATCGAGTGTAAAGTAAAATTTGCGTGTGAATTAGAAAATATTGTTCTGACTATAATCATTAAGGAGAAGAACATGACTGCACTGGGAACTCCAGTGCAAACAACCTTTGTAACAGTTCATTTGAGATTGGGCACACCTTGGACAGGTAAAGTGTAAGAACTACAATTCCACAACAATAATCCACCTTTATTCTTTTAGCTGAAGAATCAGTCTTAAGAGCAAGAACAATGCATACTCACACAGAAGCCATTTTAAAAAGAGGACAAAGGGGCTCAAATCCTGCAAATAAAAGCTTAAGCTAAAATAAAAAACAAAACAAAACACAGGTCATAAAATAACTTAACCTTCACTATCTACAGAACAGTGACTGGTGCTGCTTTGTGTTGCAAGAAGTTGATGAGACTTGTGGGCATTTCCAGCTGGTCGATGCAGTTGATCTTGTTGATCTTTCTGAGGTGTCTCCGCACAGCAAGTCGGCACTGTGAGGTCAAAGCTTTTGGATTTCCTGGAGACAAAACAGAAGAAAGTTATACCCACAATATATCATGAATGATAATAATATTATTTATATTTAATGAAGTTTACAGTAACTATTATTACTAAACAAGACATCCAACATATATTTAACAATCTCCCAACTGGTCGTGGCAGATGGCTGCCACTCCCTGAGCCTGGGTCTGGCAGAAGACTCTTCCTGTTAAATGGGAGTTTCCCTTCCCACTGTCACCAAGTGCTTACTCAACGGTGGTTGTTTGATTGTAGGATCTCTAACTTACAATGTAAAACATATTGAGGTGACTGCTGTTGTGATTTGACACTATATAAATAAAACTGAGTGGAACATATAACTGCTGCTGTATACATATTGTAAGTACATTATTTAAGAATTTTAGCTTTTACTATGGGAAAAAAAAAAATCACACCTACAAAGTGTGTTAATGTTAAATACAAATGCTAGTCAAACATATAGTATGTAAAGCAATAGTGAGGAGAGATGCCTGGAGGATAAATGTTAGAAGTCATATTATAAATGTATTTATTTCATAGATAAAACTTTAGCACTCCTTCAGTTACATCGTCATCAGTAGTGTTAAAGATCTGAAGTGAAAAAGCGCTGAAGAATCTGTCCGACACCTCTTTCTCGCAGCAGCAGCTCCACAGCCTCGTTCTGCTTCGTTGACTTCTCGATGATCAGCGTGGGGAGGTAGACGTTTGCACCGAAGTCGATCAGAAGCTGGATGTATTCCACGCCACAGCCGTGCCTAAGGCACATCTCCAGCACAGTTTTGGGCTGCTTGTCAGAGCTCAGCAGCTTGGCATCAGTGCAGTTGTAGTCTGGGTCTGCCCCGTAGAGGAGCAGCAGTTTGAAGCACTCCATGTGTCCATAAACAGCAGCCAAATAAAGCGGCCCACTGGAGACTCTGGCACTCGAGGTCCACAGTAAGACTTTGGCGCGGGAGTTCACCTCAGCGCCGTGTTTTAGTAGCTGCTTTAGAATCTCTGCGTCGCCTTCCCTTGCAGCAGTGAGGACCGGCGAGCAGTTGTTGGACGAGCTTCCGTTGGGGTTGGCGCCAGCTTTGAGGAGAGTTAAGACACAGTCAAGGTATTTCCCTCGAACGGCTGCGAACAGAGGCGTCTGGGCCTTGACGTCCACGCAGTCTATGATGGCACCGTGAGCTAGAAGGACCTGCAGACAGCTGAGGTGGCCTTTAGACACTGCAGCATGCAGGGGTGTGCCTGCAATGCCCCAGCCACCTCTGCAGTTGATGACTTTCTTGTAGATTTCTTGGCAGAGCATCTCATCAAGGAGTCTGTCATTGTTTTGTAACACAGCCTGCCTCAGCTGGGAAATTTCACAACTCCTTTTCTCTTCTTCAGCGGTCCTTAGCTTGAGCATAGAACCTGCTGCAAATGCAAAGACAGAGAATAAATAACACACCAAATATACAAACGTATGGTCCTCATACAAACACCGCAGTGCATTTCTGTTTGTCAACGTCATCTGTTCTCAAAACAGATTTGGTGTCCTTAGGGCACCAAATCAGCAACCAGTGTTTTGTATTAAAGAAAACAACAACAACAACAACAACAACAAAACATAGAATCCAAAGTTCAGGTGAAATATAAATAAGGCTTCAGATCTGACTCGGATAAAAGTGGCAAGATAAAGTTATTATTCTATTTCCGGAAAAAAAAATAGTATATATAGGCGTTAAAGTTTAAGCTGGTCATTAAGACTTTTTCCACCAAACTTCATTCAAAATCTTTACAATTTTATATTCGCAAAACTAATCGTCCGAACGATGCATCCAATTAATCAATCTATGCTTGTTTATGATAAATAAAACCTTCTGGAAACCTTCGGCATAAAAAGGAATAAAGGCTTTTATAATTAAACCAACCGTTTATTAGAAGTACTGCGATTTTCCCCCGTGAGGCTGTATTGTAGGAAGAAATGGGACAGATTTAGTTTAACTTTCTTACACTGTGTACATGCCGACTCATGCCTCTAATATTAAGGAAGTTACCCATCGCATCTCTACACGACATACAACATACACACACGTATAGTGTTTCTTATCAGTACTACTTCGCGGACGATAAATAGCTTCGCTAATATTCACCCTAAAACCACAGTGAAAAAACCCAAATAGATATTAAATTCCAAATATCCCGTTAGTACGCAAACATCTCCATCCTTTAACAGTGCTTATTTCAAAGAAACGAAGCTAAACCCTTATGTTTTCTTCGTTTAACATTACCTAAGATATGTCACCATCAACAGCCTCCTTCTTTGCTTCCTGTTTTCTGCTCTTCCTCGATGGTGTGTTTGTGTGACGTACCGCTGCTGCCCCCTAGTGACTTTTATTTGCAATGGCAAACTGAAGCTTAAAATAAATATAGATAGCATAAAAGATATTTAACAGATGCAATAGCAAAATATATAAATAGTCTATTAAATTGTAAAAAACAAAAACAAAAAACAGTATTATTAACTGACTTAAATCAAATCTGATTTTTTGCAAATCTGATTTTTAATGCAGATAATTATTTTGGGGAACCCTTATGAGCTGCAGTCCACAGTTTCAGGAACTTTAATTTGATTTTGAGTTGTAGTTTTATTAGTGCTGTAACTGTTTCAGTTCACAGTTACCTATAGGTCAGTCTGATGTAACTGGTAAAGCATAGGCACTTTTTTAATGGACCATTTCAATCATAACATGAAATTTTATTCACTTCATTGCTGAGTTAATATAAGGAAAATTTGTTAAAAATACATAAAGTCATGGTGAAAACTGACATTGTGAAATGAAATGGAATAAAATCCCATATTTGCCATGCTTCTTGGCTCTTGGACCCATGGTTTTCAGTTTGCTGTTAGTTCATTATTCCTTTTGGGTTTTGATAAGTGACTAATGTACATGTCAATAATGTTGTTTTGTAAGGCCTTATGCTTATGAGTAAGCCCATCTGATTCCTGGTATTGTTATTTGTGCCTGTAGTTTTTCTGTTAGTTATAAATGACTTTAGATTTGTCAGTTCCCTTAACAGTTCCCTTTCTGTTCCTTCACTCTCGTCTTTGTGTCGGTCTTTTTATTTTTCTCCTTCCCTGTTTAGTTGTGTTAAGTTAATCTTATTCTCCATTGGGTTGTGTCTCTCTTCCTGTTATGTTTTGGTAAGTGTTGTTCTCTGTGGCTTGCATTACTTCCCCATCTCCTTTGGTTAATTGTCTGCAACTGTGTTTCCACCTCCCTCATTAACCTCAGTGATGTTTTTCTCTCTCAAAAAAAGTTTTTTGCTAGTTTCACTCTTCATGAAAGGTTACATCACCCAGGGGTCACCACAGCCGATGGATCCACATTTGATTTGGCACAACATTCCTTTCCCTTTTTTTAGGCTGGGCATGCATCCTACTGGTCTTGAACCAGGAGTATTTTCCATATAAGATGACACCACACAGCCCCAGTCTTGCTTGGATGCAACATTATTAATATCTAGCGCTAATGAATTCAGATCACATATTCTTAACATAACTAAACATAACATAATAAAACAAAATATAACAACCCATTGGAAGTTAATACAAATAGAAGTGGGAAACACTCGTACATTTACCACAATAAAATAAGACTAAAAACATTGAACATTTGTAGGAGGCAATGTGCCTGAACCAAAAAGAACACGAGCATTATACGAACATGTCATGCTGACCAACATGCTGTAGAACATTAGCAAAATTTGAATCTTAAAGTTTTGTATCGGTAAAGTTTTTTTTAAATTGACTTAAGAGTTGTTTCTTTTCTGCTTTGTGGTAGAAAACCATTTGAATCCATAAATACTGAACTATTATATACTTCACAGAAACCAGTGACTTTGGTCCCTTTATAGAATTTTAAGTTCTTGGGAAAGAAAGAAAAAAGAAAGAAAGAAATAAAAATAAAAATACAGAAACTTCTAAGTTAATGCAACGTTATCGCCACCCTCTACATCAGGGTTGGGAGAACTCCAGGCTTGAAGGGCTGGTGTCCTGCAGGTTTTAGATCTCCTCCTGGGTAAACACACCTGAATCAAACAATTAGTTCATTACCAGGCCTCTGGAGAACTTCAAGACATGTCGAGGAGGTCATTTAACCATTTAAATAAGCTGTGTTTAATCAAGGACACATCTAAAACCTGCAGGACACTGGCCCTCGAGGCCTGGGGTTCCCCACCCCTGCTCTACATGATTTGTTCATTCTCCAGGCAACCCGGATGGCATCCTGTCTTTCAAATCTAGTCTTTGCGTGTGCGTCACAGAGCCTTTGTTGGGTAAGTGGTGAGGTCTTGCTGAGACAACAGTGTGTGGACACACTGCAGGAGAGTGACCTTTCTAGCTCTAACAGAAAAAAAAATCTTGTGGCCACACTGTGCTGTGAAGCTAAAACAACTACTGCAGTGACTCTTTGGGCTGTGAGGCTCGTTTCTGTCAGGACCCTTAGTTGCATCCAGCCTGAGGGAGTCTGCTTCTTTCCTTTGAGTGCCAGGAGGTTTTACAACATGGTAATGAGCAGCTCAGGCCTCCTCTGTCCACTCTGCTTCTATGGCTGTTGCTGAGAGACAAAGTAAAAGTCACCCAGGCGCTCACGGAGAACAGAGAAGAGGCCTTTAAAACAACAGTACCACCATAACTCATAGTGTCTGTGCAGGAGGAGGAAAGGAGGGCCCAGTGGAGATGTGTGTGTGTGCAGAAGGCACAGAAGTGGATGGAAAGGAAGATAAGACACTAAATTTAAGATGAGGAGAATCTTCAAATCTAGTGTAATACAAGGAGAGAATTAATTTCTACAATGCTCTGTTTCCATGCGTGATTTGCCCGGCAAGATGAGAGCCACGCTTGTGCCGCAGAAACACTCTCTACCCTGGATTATTTGCATGGTTTTGATCACAACTGCTGGAGGTGAGAATCTTAAGTTTGTACCAGGTTACTAAATGGAAAAGAAAAGCTGTGTTCTGGAAAAACTGCAGTATCAGCTTCAACATTTCAAAATAATTTCAAAATTCAGAAAACGTCTGGTTACATTTGAAGACGAGATCACAGAATACGACAGTATTGTTGTAGCACTCTTCATCCACTTTACATGTGTTGTCAGTATACAGCAAGGATTGTGCATTATGGCTTTTATTGTATATGTTGCTGTTTGTTTACTGTTAAAGAGAATGTGACTCCTATTTTCACCTTGTGTGTGCGGCAGAAACGTAGTCCTGGAAATGCGTACTTACTTAGCGAGGACTTTGCCAGCTTGGTGGCTGTTTGTGGACAAATTTTGTCAGCACATTAACAAACTGCAAGAAAGTCCAGAAAGCTTTAATAAAGCTTAATAACGTTGGTGTTTATTAAAGTGAGTTAAACCGAGTTAAAGACAAAGTGCAATATACTTAAATGTAATAGAAAATAACTTAAACATCTATTTTTGAAGAAGACAGATGACATTGTGTTTAGTTTTGTACCAGCCAATCAAAAAGTGTTCTTTAAACTAACCTTTTTTTTCAAAATATGAAATATTTTCATAGATGCTTTAAAGCTATGGTTTTTTGTTTTTCAAAATAAAACTTCCTTCTTCATCAAATGATAGTGCTCCATTATTTAGGAGTTTATGAACATGTGTTAAAATGACAGACTTTCAAAATTAAATCCTGCTATCACAATGTAACTATTACCTGCCACCTCCTGTAAGTCTAAAAAAAAAATCATTATTATTAAACACCAACTTTATTGGTGTTTAATAATAATTACCAGACTAAAGTCTGGAAATAACAACAGTTTCACTGATGTATTTCAAGAAATTCTTGTTGATAATGATACATTTTTAATCACTGAAGGGTTGAACAATATTATATTATATTTACCAGCTTTTACCAACTATTTAACTTTTTTCCCAAAATCTCGACATTGTAGCAGTTTGAATATTTGATTCCTGGTTTAATCCCAAGAGGATCTACTTAATATGTGAGGCTTCCTTCTGTGCGACTGCACTCAACAAAGAAAAAAATGCCCAAAATGTAATGTTCACTTTAAATATGAAATTACATGCATTTCTTCCCCATATAATTTGTTACTTAAGAAATGCAAGTATTTCAAATATTAAATTTAATGGAAGCTGATCAAATGAAATTTGTTTGAAAAGTATCCATTGAATTTATACCAACCATATATTTGGTAATTTTATCAATAAATAAACTGTTGATTTTATATATTTCAGCTGCATTTTATTTAAAATTAACGCTTCATGGTAATAAGGCCTATAAAATAATAATTTTTGAGTGCAAAGAAGATCCTGTACCTGAGTGCAATTATGAGGTAAAAATTACTTTTTATTTGATTTTGTAAGTCAATTGCAACAGTTCAGAGGGAAATCTTAAATCTTTATGGTTTGCATGCTAATATGACATTTGTACTTACCTTTCAGATTAAGAATTATGATGTGTGTCAGCCCAGTAAAAAGGATAGAAGAGACTAAAAAGAGTAAAGGAGTAAAAAGAGACTAATGGGGCGATCGTGGCTCAAGAGTTGGCAGTTCGTCTTGTAATCGGAAGGTTGCTGGTTCGACCCCCGGCTCAGACAGTCTCGGTCGTTGTGTCCTTGGGCAAGACACTTCGCCTACCGCCTACTGGTGATGGCCAGAGGGGCCGATGGCGCGATATGGCAGCCTCGCCTCTGTCAGTCTGCCCCAGGGCAACTGTGGCTACAACTGTAGCTGCCTCCACCAGTGTGTGAATGAATAGTGGAATTGTAAAAGCGCTTTGAGGGTCTCGAAAAGCGCTGTATAAATGCAATCCATTATTATTATTATTAATGGATACTTCAATTTTTCATAGTTTAAAGTTTTTCTGATGATCTTGTCACAGTTTGAATGTGTGCATTTTACTTGTAACAGAGAACTTTTAAAGAGGAATGTTTGTCCCACTAAATTGACTGTATTTCATACAGAACATTACACATGGAGCATGTAGCGCTTCTCTCCTAAAACCAGTGCTGTAGCTCAAATTTCCTGATAAAACCAGCAGGTGCTTTGAAGTCTCACAAACACAACGTCAAGGTTAAACCTAAAAGCTGAAATGTGATTCTGTCAAATGTGTCTTTGTTCAGCTGGATTTAAAGCTAATCACTGATGTGATTCACATGAGTTATGTAAGAAAGCACTCCTTGCATGTGGTTCGCTAAGTTTTGCTGTTGCTTTCCAGAGA